TGAGTAGAAGTCAGAAGTAGGAAGAAAAATAAGTAATGGAGTAAAGTATAGATACCTAAAAAGTGCACTTAAGTACAGTAACAAAGTATTTGTACTTCGTTAGTTGACACCTCTGCAGATTAGCAGCAGTAAATATAAACCTACGTGCTGGAACATTAACATGCTCATTTATTAATTTCTTTTTAGTAAAAAACAAACAAAAAAATTTAAACTACAAAAAAAATATAAAACACTTCGTAATTTCATCATTTTAGTATTTTCAAGGATTGGACAAGAAAAAAAGTTGTTATTATGTAAATAATATAAATCCACACAATAGAGGCTTATTAAAAAGGATAAAAACTTTTCCTATCCTTGTTTTGTCAAAAAATGAAAATCAGTAGTCCAAGTAGACGATGCAACCTTTATTAATACTCCTAAAATACTCAATATACAAAATTTTTACACAATAGTCTTTGCATTTACTGGGAGAGATGCCGGGTACACCCAAAAAAGGTCGTAAGTCAATCATAATATCTCCGAGAGTCAAATTAACCCACCATTTATGTCTTTAGACCTTTAGAGGTGCATTGGCAGGAGTATCCAGAGAGAAACCACACAAGTGGAGGAACAAACTCCATGTAGAGAAAGCCCAGGCTCGGAGTCTAACCCTATACAATCTTGGTAAAAGGTGATAATTTGAAGTTTCTTCTAACAAACCAAACCAAAAAAAGAACTGAAAAAGCAGGCACATTCCAGATTCCAAGAACAAAACCTAATTTCCTGAAATTCCCAGCATCAAACCGCTGAAATCAATCTAACCCTAGAAGATCACTGATGAAAACAATTTTCTTACACAGAACATTTATCAAGAACATCTAAATCCAGTTGTAAGTGTTTAGCATGTAGCGATCACCTCTATCAGGTCACTGAAACACAACTCCTTGTTTGACAACTCTGACTGCAGTGAAATCCCATGTGTAATCAGAAAAGCTATGCAATCTTTAGCCGCAAAGAAAAGTTGGCCAGGTTCCTGCGCAACTGAAAAGGGTGGAAAAGAAAAGGTTTGCTTCTATCATTTTCTAGTTCTAGAAAAGGCTTAGTATTCTTGCTTGATTTTCTAAATGACAATTTCCTATTAATACATTTTTTTGCTTAAATTGCATTTAGCAAACCAGTTCTTTATTTGAACATTTTAACCATCAGTGATAAAGTTTCTGGAGGAAAAAATATCATGAAAATAGTATTTAGACAGCTTTAAATATAGGTTGAATGCCAAACCAGTCTCTGACTGGTAATCTGTGAAACCGGGCATATGCCCAGTGGGCCGGTCCTAATTTCAGCGTGCGAGGCCCGGCCCTCCTTAGATCAAACCGGCCCCAACACTTTACTCTCCGGGTGAAGCATCTATCTGTGACAGTAATTAACTCAAGGAGCTCAAGAGGTAATACAATGTTAACTACTTAAATGATGCATGCAGTATATATAGCCCTTCCTTGTCATGCAAATCCTGCACATCCAGATTTTCTGATATAGATCCAGTTTTTCAGGCCCAATACCTTCACAACCACAGAAGATACAATTGCTGAGAATTAAAGCTTGTTGAATTCTCTGTAAGAAAAAGATGGAGAGAGCAAGTAAAAAGTTGGTAGTTTCATTCATATATTTCTTCAAACCGAAAAATCGTTGCAACAAACTCAATTATAATAAAACTAAAATGCTTTCTTTAAACCAAATTTGTCAATATATTTGGCAAAGTTATGTTAGAATATTTTGCAAAAAAATATGTTGCGGTGTATGATGGGGTTTTGCATCTAAAGACTAACATTTCCCATCTTAGGTGCATTGTTGCCAGGTTGGGATGTTTCCCAATCAGGCAGTTTAGGATGGCCGTCCATGGTTAAAAAATTTTTTTCTTTACATTTATGGCCCAAAAGATCAATAGACTTTGGTTCAAATTGGGATATTGGTGTATAAATTTCGTATATACAGGTGGCTAGCAACATTTTTTGGGCTGGAAAACGTGAGTCAGTGACATCTGGCAACCTGCTTATGTGGTGAGTGGCGCTAGTCCATGGCAATACGGATGATCCCTAAGTGGGCCGGTGTAGATGGAAAAATGCCAGGGCCGAAAATCGTTCCCAGTCCGAGCCTGCGCCAAAATACGAAACTAAAACTACTATTCTATAGAAACGTACAAACAAAATGATGCACTGAGCTTCACAAACTGGGATTTAAAGAATCTGCATTTAGTTAAATAAACTCAATATTTTATTTTTCAAGTCAAAGGGGTTTAATAAAAGAAACAATGGTGATAGAGGCTAATTCAGATGAATGAAAAAGAGTGAAAATGATGAATTAAAAATAAAAACAAAGACAAATTTAACATACGCTGTAAATGAATTACCCCATTGCGGGACAATAAAGGGATGTTCTATTCTATTTTCTATTCTAAATGGACCCAAAAGCTTTCTATAGCAACATTTTAAAATCAGAATATGTATTAGAAACAGAAAGAAAATGGACTTTTGTAATAAAAACTGTGTAGGAACCCTAGAGATCCATGAGAAGCGACGTGGGTGAATGTTGGAGTTGCTCTTGGAGTTATGTGCATGTGGGCGCACCGGTGTGTATGTGTATCCTTCAGGGAGGTTTTCACGGTCTAAAAGTCCAGCTAATGACTGTAACAAGGGCTGATGATGAGAAAGAGATTACACTGTTGCACTCCTTCAACCCTCTGATTTAGTTTTATTAATTTCTTTCCACTTGACCTCCCCTCTCTAATGAAATCCCTTCCCCTTTTTTTCTTTCTTTCCCATCTTCCTTGCCTTGTAACTCTATGATATTTCTCATCTTTTAGGGATTATTTTTCTTCCTGTTGCAGTAACTGTCCATGTTGATGCCTGAGTGGATCAACTTGTTCCTTTTGGAGATAAGATTGTTACTACAAGTCTTTCTCCCTCTGTTTGCCCTAACCCAGACACACAGGGTTGCTTACGGGAAACACTTTTTTTTCACATAAAAAAAGATGCTCAACGTGTCGTCCACTTCTTAGAAGATGACTCAGATTTGTGCCGCCATTGAAGGACAAGTCATTAGTTTGGTTTAATTGGATGCATGTGTCAGCTTCTAGATCCAGCTTTTTTTGTCCAATTTCAGGAACTTATAATAAATGTCAACAAGAGTGTGTTTAGCTGAAAACTAGTTATTTCTTAATCTTCCAACATTTCTAATAAAAAAAAGCTAAATTGCTATTAGCCAACACTGCACACCCAAGCAAGAGAAATGGTTTGCCTTCTTGCACATCGTATAAAAGAAAAACAACATTTGCTGTGACGAGAGCTTAAATCTTTACTGGACCTATAGTTATTTAAGGGAGTATTGGGGCTTGGACTATTTTTCTAAGCTGTGGCAAGCAGTGATTCTACACTTGAGACCATTAATTCACCAAGACAAACAGTGAAAATTTATAGGTAGACTAGAGCATGTCTCTTTTTTTTACCGGCCTCTGCTCGGTTTAATGTTTACACCATGTAAAAGGTCAGTGTTGATAAAATGTCTTCTCTCAAAGCCAAATGACATATTCATGCACGGGATTAAACCTGCATGAATCATTAAGTGGAAAAACTGGAAAAAGGAAAAAAACATTAAATATTGCGATTTATCCAGATTTTCTGATATAGATCCAGTTTTTCCAGCCCAATACCTTCACAACCGCAGAAGAAACAATTGCTGTGAATTAAAGCTTGTTGAATTCTCTGTAAGAACCTCTGAAGATGGAGAGAGCCAGTAAAAAGTTGGTTTTACTTTCAGAGAAGGTAGAACAAAACACAACTTATAGGAGAAGAGATTTTCAGAAAAAGGAGGAGAGAAGTATAATACTTTGTATAACTTAGAAGACGTATCATACAAATATTCATATTATCTCACTGCCTCTGCCAGTCAATCTTCAAACTATCCATCACATAGCGGATCCAGGATTTCGGCACCTTAAATAAGGGTGGAATTTCCAACCCAAAAAATAAACATTTCTGCTTTCCCTACCTAACAAAGCCTATCCAAATCCTGACTAACAGCACAAATCTTCTCTGAAATGCTGCAGGAAAAAAAACAAACAACTGCCTTGAGGTCGTATCGAGACTAAGCAGCGAAACCCCCCCTGAAGGGCCGCTAGAACAGAATTATGTCATTGTTCTTCTGGCTGGGACAGCAAGAAAAAACTTCTGCCTTTGGTTGAGGATGTAACAGTCAGACAGATTTAAAATGGCCAAAAAACAAACAAAGAAACAAAAACAGAAAAATCTCTGAATAATAGTTTTCTGGAGAACACTTAAAGATTAGATTAG